AAAAACACTTTACATCACTTTATAGCGGGTTAAGGAGTTTTACTTTAGCAGATATTCCCTGTACAAAACTACTCCACTGTAAATCATGGGTTTAGAGCCTTAGAAATCTTATCAGGGGAGTTTGAGCCTAGAACTAAGCTATAATTTGTTAGTTTACCACTTCTCATATTGGTAGAAATACCTCGCCCACACTTGCTGTCCTCAGAGTGTTTCGTTTTCCCAGCCTCCTCATTCTTCATGGCAAAATGCACTTAGGTAAGTGAAAGTGAGAGCGTGGTTTGTACTAAACAAATCGACCCTGGTTTGAATCTTTGGCAGGCTGCATTCTTAAAACATTTTTGGCATCTATGGTTCCATGAAGAACCTTTAACATCCGTGGAAACTTTCCATTCCACTAAAGGTCCTTTATAGTAGAAAAATGCGTTATTGGAGTATTAAAATGTTCTTTTAAGAACTGGTCACTAAAAGCTTCTCTGGAGAACCCAAAATGGTTCTTCTATGGCATTGCTGTGAATACCTTCTTTTGGAACCTATGATATAAAGAGTACACGCTTAAAAATAAAGACTCTTTATTGACATTGAAGGTTCCACGAAGAACCTTTAACACCCATGGAATCTTTTCATTCCACAAAAGGTTCTTAATCATGGAAAAATGTTCTTTAGATTATTCAAATGTTCTTTACAGCAAGAAAAACAGGTAGGCCTACTTTTAAGAACTGTTTTGCTGAAAATGGTTCTTCTACTACAAAAACCCCCTTTTGTAGAACCTTTTTTTAAAGAGTTCATCTTTAACCATCGACCTCACTTGAACATTTAAAGCATCATCTTGGAGCGCAACAGTGGCTGGCATTCTCTGTTGGCTTACGTTTAATTTTAAGTTCTAGTTCTGTCGTTGTACATCCTGGTTATCTTGGGGACAAGTTGAATCCTTGCCAGAGACTCAATGTCAATGTTAATCTTAGGGTTTAGTAGAGTGGAAGTACTTTTCCCCATAATACCACTGAGGACTCTTGAAGAAGGGGCCCGGAGCCCGTGAAGTGGGTTTAATGCCTTTTGGAATTCTGTGAATGTCTTTCAGTGAAAGCCGTAGATGTTTAAGCTGGCTTCAAGTGAGATTGGAAAAGCAGCCTTTTAAGGGAAAATTCCTGTTAATTGGTAACGTGCCGACGCAGTGGGGCCTTTGTCCTCCCTTCACTGGGCTTTGGGCTCCGTTATGAATGACGTGCTTGTTTCTGTTGACTGGCTTTGAGAATTGGCATGCAATAAAAAGTGGCTTCTTCTTTTGAAATGCTATTATGTGAATGAGTGGCACGATTAGTCAAGGAAAGAGAAACCAGAGGACAACAGAGAACTCCCTCAGACAGTTTGACCAAATTATATCAGTTGAACCACTAAGATATTTATAAGAGATATACAAAGGAATTTTTCATATCTGACTCAAATCTCCCATTAATGTTAACCTCCTCAAAATATATCTCTCTCCAATAAAATAACACACACTTTTTTTTTTTTTGCACAATTAGGCTATTTATTTTTTTTTTTACATTATTTTCATGATCGTAATTGTTGCACTGGCTTGAATGTATTTGTGTTATTTTATTTTTATTTCTTTTATTTTATATTTTATTTTCAGAAACATCTGTTGATTCATGGATATGGTGTTGAGATCTTACAGGAAACTCCATCACCTTCTCTTTTATGTGTATATAAACTCTTGATATGAGATTACAGTAGACCTTGACGGGCGTTGAGTGCTTCACACGTGATTGAACAAGAGCCTCGTTTTGTGTGATTGGCAAAGAAATTTGCATATTTAATGGTCACGCTATTGGCCTCTCTGGGTTTGGACAATGCAGCCGAGATTTGCGGTGGACACCCACAGATTTTGTTAAATTTTTAATGCAGCAGACGGCTAACTTCTGTTGTTGCGTGTATCTGCCTCTCCATGTTCTGTTGCACTGTCCCAGTTATGTGTCTAATTAATTTCTACAAATGCTCAAGGACAGTTGTGCAAATTCATTGGAAAATGCTTTTTTTCTTCTTTTTTTCTGTGAGAATGTTGGTTGCGTTTTCATTTTGTCCCCTCTGACATGCTTTCAAACTTCTAATTATAGTGTTTATCATTCAGAATATGAAGTCACAGGCAGCAACCGTTTATGCAACTACAATCTTTCATCTGCATGTGCACATATAAACCAGCAATGAAAATCATTTGCTCTCTGACAGTGATTGTCTTGAATTTCTTCAATGAAGGTGTTGCATTTATTACAAAAGCTTTGACTGCAATGGCTTATTTAGAGAAGATGCAACAACATTGAGAGGAGTTTGCCAGCGTGACATGTTTAAAGGGGTCATATGATGCTGCTAAAAAGAACATTATTCTGTGTATTTGGTGTAATGAAATGTGTTTATGCGGTTTAAGGAAAAAAAACCACATTATTTTCCACATACTGTACATTATTGTTTCTCCTCTATGCCCCGCCTTTCTGAAACGAGTCGATTTTTTACAAAGCTCATCGTTCTAAAAAAGCGACGTGTGCTGTGATTGGCCAGCTATCCAGTGCGTTGTGATTGGCCGAATACCTCAAGCGTGACGGAAATGTTACGCCCCTTACCATATCGTGATGATGCCCTGTCAGGCCGGAGCGATGATTCAAAAACATGAAAACCCATTATAAACGAGGCATTCGTTGCATCCAGTGGGGACATAATTATGGATTATAATGACTTATACTGTCTTTTTACGCGAGCCAGCACGGATCAGCTCCAGGCATGACGAAGCAGATATCGTCCTCTTTTGGAAGGCCAAACAAAGTAGTTTCGCTTTCACAACGAATCACACAGCGCCTTCACGACATGGCGGCGTCAACAACAATACTACAGCGAGAATAAAAGTTACGCCTTTCTTTGCGTGAACATTTGGGTGGCGTTATGCAAATCTTCCCACATAGTGATGTAGATATGTGGGGGCGTGTTAGAACGAGCCGTTTTAGGTAGGCGTGGCTGACTCTTAACTTTATAAAGAATATCTCTTTGGATTTGAGACTTTAGTCTTTGCAACTTTACAGATCTTCTTTATGCACCAAGAGCTTGTAACACTCCAAAGAGAAAGGAAAAATTGAAATCGCATCATATGACCCCTTTAACATTTACTGTTGGATTGCCATTGAGCTTGAAACTTGTCGACTGTGATATATCTCATCCCTCGTAGAATTTCTAGTCGGTGCAAAAACTTTCTCTTAATCAAGTCATCAGAGTCAGTTTGAATAGACACTTCAAATTCGACTCAAAACTGAATGTGAACGATGGATGTACGGTCTATCCAGTAGTTTGTAAGGTCAAAGGTCATGTCCAGACCCACAACTTTGCGTACAGTAAATGCTGTTCTTGAAGTACTATACATACGCTTAACTACATTTACCGATATGAAACCATTGTTTTACCATATTTAAATGTGCAAACGTTTCGTTCACTGAATTATTATTATTATTTTCTTTGGAACAGCATAAGGTTAGCTAAACCATTAAAACCCTATTGAATGGCCTGTACTTCTATCC